AGGGAAAGAGGAGAGAGACTGTGTATGTGTGTGTGTGTGTGTGTGTGTGTGTGTGTGTGTGTGTGTGTTTGGGTGTGTGCAGCTATTTTCTTATTACCTCTACTATCTGACCTATGTTTCAGATATTTTTAATTTTCTTTGCCTAACGAACACTTACCAATTTTTCGTATTGTAATGTTTGTTTTATTTATATTAGAAATATTTCAGGCCAAAAAAGGTTGAACTGAAAATTATTTGTATGGACCATTAGATTTTTATCAAATCTAATATTTTAACATGATCAAATTGTGCCACGTGGAGCATTAGCATTTCTTGGAGGATCTCGATATCCCGAGCAAAAGAACCTTACGACTGAGCATTTATTTATTGTCCTTAAGACTAACACCATTCTCTAACTTTAATACGTCACTGTTTTTATTATCATTGTCATATTATGTCGGATTTTACTGAACTTTTATCTACCTGTCCTCACCAACCTCGAGAACACCGCCCCTATTATACAATCTCTGTTATAGTGGTATTAACATTATACATAGACACTGTAACAGCATTCGTGACAAGCAGTAAATTCCAAATGTGGTTTCAAATGACACGCTTCTGTTGCCCCAAACAGGTGTACTGAGGCATAAATGCAAGTAACTTTAAATACATACATACATGCATACATACATACAGGCCTACATACATACATACATACATACATACATCACCTACATACATACATACATATTTATAAATAAATATGTAATTGGAGCTACCCTCTTTTGTGTGTACCGTACACAGACACATATATAAGTGTATATATGCATACATACATACATACATACATCATCATATCATACATCCATACGACATAAATCATACATGACATACATACATACTACACTACATACACATGTGGTGTGTGTGGTGTGTGTGTGGTGTGGCTCCCATAGATATTTCTTAACTATTTATACTAAGTTATGATAGCAATTTTGCATACCTTCCTCAGTTATTTTTTTTCTTAAGTCAAATCCTAGGTCAAAAATTATTGAGGTATCTATGAAAGATGGATATGTAATGCCCATATAGAGTAATGTATATGTAATTATATATTGTGTGTTTGGTGGTGTGTGTGTGTTTGTTTTGTTTGTGGTTTGTTGTGTGTGTGTGTGTGTGTTTGTGATGTTGTATGTAGGTATGTATGTATGCATGTATGTATGTATGTATGCATATATACACTTATATATGTGGTCTGTGTAAGTACAACACAAAAGAGGGTAGCTCCAATTACATATTTATTATAATATAATTTAATTATAAGGTGAGTGGTGAATAAATCTTCTAAATACTTATGTATCTAGTTACTTTTACTTCTTCTTCTTAGTAACACACTTATCGATATAGAAATCAAGAAAGAAGGGAATCAAAAAAATCTAATATTTGCATTGAATATTGGATGGGGATTAACTCGAAGTTGCCAACTAGGATTTCTAAAGATGGCGTGGGTCCTACCTGTGTACTTTATTGTGGTTTGTGTGTGTGATAATATACAAATACATATATTCCCACGTGTGGTGTGT